GGAGAATTTTTACTTTACACGACACTGTTCAACACTTCATTCTGCTTCACTCTTTAACTAAACAACCGCGGATGTCTTGAAAGACTCTTTCGCTAAAGATTTTGAAGATATCCGCGTTCTTGTGACTCCTAAATACTACGCTTCCTATGTTTTGGTGCGGACTGCGTTCACACCAGCAATGAACCGCTCCAGAGTTCGCAAGCAAGCGCTCCGAGACCACCTATTTTAGCGGACCAGAATCCGGTTGTTTAGTTCACTTAAGAGGTCTCGGACTGTGTTCACACCGACCCAAATGAACAGCAGCAAGCGGCTAAACGCACCAGGGTTCCATTCAATCGGACTATACCAAGCAGGTGTACTAAGACGCACGCTAAGAATCACAGATAAAAACACATTGGAGCCTTAGGCTTAATCCCACAAATTAAGATTGAATTCAGATTGGATTGTTTATAGTTTTACCTTGGAAAGATACATTTTTATTTTGTATTCCCGAATGTTCATTTGGTTGACAACAAATATACCAGAATCAATACTTTTCAACTTTGCATGTGCTTGGATAAAATAACATCCTGAATAGGTGGTTTAATAAAAAGATATCTTTCTAAGATGACGGGACTGACAGTGTGAGTTACCTACAGTAAATCACATGCTCTTATGCAAACCACACACACCCTACGCCAGGGTGCAGTCACCTTCTGTTTTAAATGGAAGATGGTTTGCTGGGAAGATAAAAGTTAAATTATTAAAATATACCCATTAGTTGTAGAAAAATGACAATACACTTTATTTGAACTGCCTCTTTCAAAAGCAAATAAATATGAAATAGTTCAGTCCTAGAATTTAAATAAAAATATAAGCAAATAAGGTGCAGAAAATTAATTTGAATCAATTCAGTGAAATAATTATATATTTTAAAGGCTTTCAAAGCCTTTTTAAAATAATAATAATAATAATAATGTTTTACAAGTCCTTCAAAAGGTGTTACACATTCTGCTAACCTCAGATCCTCAGGTAAAGCTTTTTAGTGGAACATTTTAGCAACTGCTCAGCTGAAGACGCTCTAACTTGCGTTTGACTGCTACCAGGGACATTAAACTAATATCATTTCATTTTGCCCAACAATCTTATGATAAATCATATAATCATACACTTGCTTTATTCAGCATCACTAGAACACATGTTTGCATTTACAAGCATTTGGCTGCTTTCTGCCTCTTTATTTTCTTTAAAATTCTGAGTGGGGTGTTTTTATGCTCATTGGAGCGAGGAGGAGAAAGGCCTGATGGAACGGATGTCCTGGTGGGAACAGAAAGCTACCTTTGAACTGCTCTCTGTTGTGGTCACAGTTCATTTCACATTAATGGTCTTACTCATTATTGCCTGCATACACACATATTGTATGTTACTCACTTGCCTTTTTTGTTTTTTTCTCCTGATTATGCAGCTGGCAGTGGATGGTTTAATGGTGTCTAACACTACGGTGTCCAGACCGGAGACGCTCCAGGACTCTCAGAGGTCTGAGGCCGGCGGGCTGAGTGGGCAGCCTCTCAAAGACCTCTCTACCACCACAGTGAGAGAGATGTACCACCTCACCAAAGGTGCTTCCTTACACGCCTACATTTTCTGTATATATGTATTTTTACATTTTCTTAATCAACTCAGTATGAGGAAAGTACACATAAAATACACTTATTTTACTCTTTTTTAATGTGTTTAGGTAAAGTACTAATCATTGGAATTGGTGGTGTGGCCAGTGGGCAGGATGCTATGGATAAGATCCGTGCCGGTGCGTCGTTGGTTCAGCTTTACACAGCTCTGACCTACCAGGGTCCGCCTGTAGTGACCAAGATAAAAAGGGAGTTGGCGCAACTTCTTAAGTGAGTAAATGGTATTTCTTTCATGAAGTCAGGGGAAATCTTTTAATAGTAGTTTAAGGTTTTTAGAGTGGTTCCTTCAAAAATGAAATGGTTATTCTGGGGTATTAAAGCATTGGTCTTATTATTAGAACATAGTATTAACATGTACAATCCCCACATGAGCTGCTGAAATCTGAGACTGCAGCTCTTTGAAGTGGACAGGGCCACACATACAAGTAATCAGACAATCTGAACCTCTAGAATATCCAAACTTATGTTATACAATGAAAAGGAATGGTCATGTTAGTACCAAAACATTCCTCTTAGAAAAAGTCAATACACTTAAATTAACGATTTCCTGGTTCAACTTTGAGCTACCGTAGATGAAGTTGTTGTACTTGCTCAACATTTCTGATTATTAAGGATACTTCAAATTAATCACTTTTGGATTTGCCTCCATTACAAATGGTTAGAGAGTCTAGCTACAAACTCTGTAACCATATTGCCCAATTTGACTTTATTTAGCCACATGTCTCAAGAACTCAGTACTTACTTTGGGTTTTCAAAACTGATGGGAAATTTGAGCCCAAGCTATGTAGACGACGATAGACCAATGTTGTTGAAAAATCACCAACGTTTCCTGAGTGGTACTTGAAATTAATTGCTTTTCTTTGCTATTATATTTCAATTTGCCATCTTTCAATTGTGGAAACATATCCATTTAATTCTCAAACTAATATATTCTCTCTTTTTTTTTTTTTTCAAGGGAACAGGGGTTCAGCAGTGTATCAGAGGCGGTTGGAGCAGATCACAGGGGAGCAGATGGGTCAGCTAATAAGCAGAGCGTGCGGAAAGAGATGGTAAATGCTAACACATTAAATGCTACACAGCACCTGTAGCTGCCATCTCGTCCAATCAGACAACATGATCCTCAACTTTTCCTGAACTTTGCTGAATGCTGAGGATTGTCTGTCCGTCCGAGTGATTTCAAGGACGAGATTATGGTCTGAACTGGGAGCTGTTGACAACATATTTTAGGTACTTGTGGCGAGAAAATTCTGAATGCACCAAATCTCACCTTTACTTGAACATATAAACAACGTTGTAATTAAAATCTTTTTTGTTTTATAAAGAAGCTGAGGTTTGTTTGTGTTAGTAACACGTTCTTCATTTGTTAGAGTGTAACACATTGTCCATGTTATTGTCCATCTATAAGAGCCTTGCTAAACAGATAAATCACAACATTTTCCAGTTGTTTGATTCAGGTGGTTTGAACCATCTTTTCATATGGCAGTGACGCTGCTGTTATGACGGTTTCATTGTGGGAAGAACTGCAGAAATCTTTTATTGAGAGAAATGTTATTTGCCTGATAAGAGTTTCATCAACTGACCCTTCCTCCTTATCTGCAGCAGGAGCAAACAGTCCATTGACAATGATTCAAAATATGTTTAGCCTTGGAATACAAAGAAGAATTTGCCACGTTCCTGACAGCAGTATAGAAATACCTTCAAGTCTTTTTAAGGCTGATTTCTCTCTCCCCTCTGCTGTTATTTGATGTGGAGTGGACATTGTGGAGTCACTGCCTCTCAGAAGTAGCGGATGCTGCTTCTTTTATTGGTATTCTTGGGTTTTCCTCCCTTATCGCCAAAGATAGCCTCCCCAGCACCACCAGATAATCCCAGAAGAAACGTTAGATATAGCCAGTGATGCCGGCAGTACTCTGAGGATCAGCTGTGAGCTGCCAGGCACATCCCTCTTCCCCCCCTGAGACCAAATCCAGACAGTCTCATCTCCAGTATGTGGACCTATTCATATATATAAATAAAACATGAGTACCAAAGCATTTATTTTTAAAGAAGGGAGGAAGCAACCCCTGAAAAAGTCACATAACAGCCTGGGATATCTTCAGACATTGCATAGAGCGAAATACAAAACTGTTGTGGAGTTTAGTCAAAGCCGGTCTGGCACCGTTTCCTCTGTGAATCGTGTCGATGAAAGCATTTTCCTATGGAGGCCGCTCGTAGAGTCGACACAGTGAATTAAGAAGATGTAGGAAAATTCTCGAGAGGAAGCCTGCATTAGACTGCCAAGTGCTTTAGATGGATAAACTCCTTTAAACCACGACCATGACAGCAAACATAGGTTGATCTCAACATTGGATAACTTCAGAGCAAGAGCACGCAAGCATGAAAATGGCCGTTCACAGATGAGCCCTAGTTTGTCTGAGCCAAAACAAATCTGTGAAGAAGGCAGAAAAACTGCCTAATCTATAAGTGCCCAAGGGATAAAGATGTATCAGCTTATATTCTAAAGAAGATTTCCTTTCAAAGGCCCTTTATGTGGTTTACGTGTTACGCGCAAATAGTCCAGGTGAACTATTATTAAACTGTAATGGTTTTGAATCCAAGAAGGTCCTCTACAAATTGCGGAAAATAGCAGGTGAAAAACAGCAAGGACGGTAGGTGGATTGTGATTATGTAACTCTGAGAGCTGCAGGTGTGTTTCAAGTTATTTGTTTTCCAAAATGGAGGAGGCAGCTGCAAGGCTGTGAGGTCAGAGCAAACAAATAGGCCTTACTGTTCCATTCCACTTCCAACCTGCAAGTGATTTACCTGGAAGTGATTTAGATGATTGTATTTAAGACGTGCTTCAGGAAAAGCATAGCAAACAAAAAGGATAACATTGGTTTGAGAATTAGATAATAATTGTTTTAATATAAATTTTCAATCACATGTTGTTAACTTTAGTTTATTAAATTACATGACTTTTTTACTCATGCCCCCCAGGGTTAAGGTCACTGTGCAAGCCTGGTTTAATTTCATATCTACATAAATGTGGTGGAGGCACTAAAATATTTAGAGGAGACCATTTGACGGCTTACTGCTATGTGGTTAGACAATCCTGTCCAAACCAACCCACATCACTACCTCCACAGTCTAAACTAGCGTTACCGCACCCTCTTTGTCTTGCATCCCTTCACATAATGCAAATAGTGGCACCTAGATGACTAGTTTCCACTTTGACCACAGTGCAGCCATGTTGCAAGCAATAGACACAGTCTTTCTTTTTCTTTTCTTTACTAGAGTAAGGTTCAGTCTGAAGGTCTTGGGGGTGCACAATGTACAGAACAGTACCTTTGTGTCTGTACAGTGTATACTAGAAGATAAAAGCTTAGAAGAAAATAAGACCAATTTTGTGTCGTTATATCTGAACTTTTGGTATACGGAAACCTAAAACACCATTATGATACATTTTGAGAACATGCCTGCGGTGCAGTGTGACTGAAGTTCTCAGCGAAGTGTCCTTCTACAGATGGCTGTTTCCCAAAGCTGGAGAAGCCTCTAGCTACAGGAAGTCACAGGTGTGATGTAGGGAGACAGAGACACAAATGACACACTGCTGCCCAAATGGATTACCTCTGACAAGAGTGTTTACTTACATACAAAACACACAGAAGGAACACAGAAAGGGAAGGTAGAAGTAAATAAAGGAAGGATGTAAGTAAAAGAGGAAGGACAAAGGAAAGGGTGGAAAGAAGACGTATAGAGGGGGTTAAAGAAAGCAAGAAGAAAGAAAGGATCAAATAAAGTGCAGGGGAAGAAGGAAAGTAGAACGGTCCCACTTCAGATGTTTCCCAAACATTATTTTTTAACCTCTTCTATATTTGGCACTGTCGTCGGGTTTTACATAACTCCCACTTCCGACAAAGCCAACACCCACTCGCTGCCAGCCGTGCAGTACAGCCATATGGGACTTCAGCTCTCGTTAGACCAAGGAAGCGTGAAACAAGTCGGCTGAAAGGCATCAGAGACAACCATCGTGCAACCCTGGAAGTGGTTGCTCTAGTACCCTTTTAATGTTAACCATACACTTGAGACACAGTCTTAGGAGCTCTATGACAAAAATATAATGAACTCCGTCAATATATACCGAGGCTTTACACAGAATCTGATTTAAAGATATACAGAAAAAACGGCTTATTCAAAAAGGCAAAAGGAGATGTTTTTCAAATGTATATAATATTGTACGGTGTTTAAAAGTAATGTGTGCACGTTCTATTTGGATGTGACAGACTGATGATACCTTTTTAAAGCCAAAAACTACTTTCGCTGGAAACTTGATTATTTAAAGAACAAAGGCGGTTGTGCTATTATACCACCTTCCACAAACACAGTGAAAACCTGTGGCCCATTTTAAAGAGAAACCTCCCTCACTGAGGGCAGGCTGCAGCGACTGGGCCTCTCAGATTAGGTGCAGCTGTGATTTTATTTAGGAAGACTCTGTCGATGTAGAGGTGGGAGGATTTATAGAGGGCAGCGTCACCATGGACTCCAGGTTCACTCAACACGAGCGCAGCAGCTTCGTCTGACGCTTGTACTGCTAGACCACGCTATGAATAATCTAGCTGACATACCCTTGAGGTGTGGGACGAAGCAAGACAGACAGCCAGCCAGTGATGAAGATGGCGTTTAAGAGAAGCTTCTGCTCGTGTTTTTAAGATAAAAACGTTCTTGTATGATAGTGAGAGGAAGTCTGCGTCGGCAAACAATCACAAACTTCATCCAAATCATGCACTCTCAATTTTCTCTGCACAGCGCTTAAGCAGTACAACTGATTGACATATATTATTCATAAGGAAGAAATATTGGGAATGCCGGCAAACAGAGAAGCAGTTAATTGTTTGTGCATTCTGTACAAACTGTGAAGTCCACTGAGACAAATGTAACATTTGTGATATTGGGCTATATAAATAAACATTGATTGATACATTTGCGAAGTTAGAAAGTAAAGGACAGTTTAGAGGCAGCAGGCAACCAGTCCATATCTTCTTGTGTTGCAGAGATAACTTCACTAAAGCAAATCACATGATACCTGGGCAAAGATTTAAGCTATCATCTTTTTACAATGGACATACGTATATTGGTCAGGGACAGTGATATAGTGGTCATTCATGTGTTTTGCCATAGTTAAATATTGGTGGCTTTATACCCTCGACTGTATACATACAGTTCGATACAGATTATCCATTTACTCCGTGTTAGTGCACAGAACCATTAGATCATATTCAACAAGGGTGGGCTTCTGTGAATGTACAGATCGTTTGTTTGTATCTCTTTGTTTGAAACTATCTCCTGCTGTTTGATTGGTTTCCTTACTGCACTTTTATTTAATTCCCTAAATTGAACTTCAGAAATGCTAAACTGAAATATCTCTGCACTTGAACTAGAAAGTATATTATACACTGTTGCCCATAAAGTTGGAATAATTTATTTTTCAGATACCTTCCTCTTTTTATTCCTATCTACACACACAATCATTTCATGAGAAGAGGTACAAAATATTTGATTCAAACTTTATGGGCAACAGCGTATTTCGTTAAACTGTTAGAAGAAACCTTAGAAGCCTACGTTCCACCTAATAAAGGACTTTCTTTCTTCGTCTCTGAGGCTTTTCTCCAAGATGTTTGAGGAATAAACTTATTTACTTTTTAGACATGACTTTTGATTAAAAAAATCGATTGATTAATAAGAACATTAATAACATCCTCCACAGACATCAAAGGAGTGTATTTAAGAATGTTGAACTATTGCTGTAAATGTTTCAACATTGCAGTCTTCATTAAGCATTAATGTTTAAACATTTTAGTTTTCAGTCAAAAAAATAAGAAAACAAAATGAAACTTATTTTAAATGTCAGTGATATTTCCTGGTCCATTTCCAACATTCAGTTGTTAAACACCCGATCTCTTCTTCCAGCTAATAAAATTAATTATATTCCACATTGTTTCCTTACATGACATTGGTGAGATTTTTGAAGTACTTTTGGTTTAGTTAATGTGCAAGGTGCACACTTTCTTTTAGTGTTTCTCCTAACAAACTATTGTCACATCTTTCCACTATTAAAAAAATACCTTAGCATTCCCAAAGTTGTAAAACAAAGAGCATGTGACTGTTGATCAAGCCAAACAGCCCTGTAGTAATCCATCAAACTTTGCTTTAATTGTCAATTTGTTCTTGCAGTGGAGCAGGGAATGATGAGGATAAAGAGATGAAGGTATTTCATGTTTGCTCAGTATCATGTCACGGTTTATTTTGACTCCTGTAAACCTGGCCAGCTGTGATTTATTGTTGCCA